TAAAGAGGAAATCGGCATTTATCTTAATCTAAAGAGTGAACTATTAGACTTTATTATCTATAATACTGATATAGATCCATGTGTGATTATGTAGATACTAAAAGTAAGCTTATTCTGGAACGATCAAAGGATTAGAATCGAATCAAATCAAAGCTAAGGTGAGTGCATACTATAGTATAGTATAATGGAATAAGACTTGTGATAAGTCTAATTCCTATATTGATTTTCATAGTACAATAGTTGTGAACATGCATACGTGATAATTATTGTAATACATGCATAAGGCATATATATGTTCATATGATTGTATAAATGATGTATATATATGAATATATTCAATACACATGTGATATGATATGTGATATGAGAACATGACATGAGCTACATGATCCAAGAGAAATGACTGAACTACATGATCACAAGAGAAATGACATGAGTACATGAACATAAAATATAAGAATAATGCCCATAGTATACGATATGAGAGCTATAAGTGTAATTGGCATGCCAAGAGTCAAGGGTATAATAGTCCTTCGGGATGTAGTGGTCCTACGGGACATATATGACATCCTTCGGGACGAATACTGAACTAAGGTTCGGTGCCCATGAGGGAATTGATACGAGCTGTGGGGCAGCATTAGTGCATAACCTCGATGCACTCATACCTATTCTCAATAATATACATGGGCAATTGAAATACAAAGTGAAAGTGAAAGGGAACAAGAAGGTAAGTTTTGTACATGCATGATATGATTATATGTTATTGTGTAATAGATACATGCATATTGAAATGTCATGTAGAAATGGTAAGAATTATTCATGAAGATATTGTTGCATATTCATTATTGCCTCACTAAGTCTATGACTTAGCGTGTAAGTGATTTACACGTAGGTACCAAGAAATAAGAAGATTCAGAATAGCAGTGGCACAGACATCAACATACTAAGAATCAGATCAGAAGTTGACAAAGTAGGTATTTTGTTGTGTATAAAGTGTTGGTATGTAATAATTGGTTAACTATGAATGCTCTGATCGATTTTGTATTAAGTGGTCTCTTTATGTAAATTAAAAATTTTTTTTAATGAAAGTTTTAAATTCACAGGATTTTTCTTTAAGAATCAAAGTTGAAAGTCAATGTGACATCTCGGGCTTGTATTCGGGTCGAATATGAGTTAGGGGTGTTACAAATTTGTTCTTTCTTTTTGATAAAGAGATAATCTTATAACTCCCTATCTTTTGATTTGACTAAGATAGAACAAAAACCCTTTTACAAAAGGTGAAAAGAAGTAAACAAATAAACCTCTCAAAGGTAGGGTGTTTACAAGAATTTAACTTACAAGAAAAAAATATTTATAAGAGAATTGAAATAAAGAGTGAAAAACTCTTCTCTTATGTTTGAATGCTTGGATAGGTGTTCTAACCCTTCTTCAAGTGTCTTGAACTTGTATTTATCTGTTGGAATGAAGTTGTGGCCATTTCTAGTTGTTGGGGATGATTTCTAGCCGTTTGGGGATGAAATCTCTGCAAAATAAAACTGTCCAGAACAGAGGTTATCAATACTTTTAAAGGGAGTATCAGTACTACCTTTATTTATATTTAAATCAACTAGTTGTTACTAGCCGTTGGGGCCTGATGGTATGGATACTACTATATAAAGTAGTATCGGTACCCCTTCGGGTATCGGTATCATTTTTGCATTATGGAATTTAAGCAATGTTGTAGTATCGATACTACCTATTGAGTATCGATACTTCCCTTACTTTGATATTGGTACCATATGAACAATATCGGTACTGTTCATGAGGTATCGATACTGTAAGAACAATATCGATACTTCTTATACGTGAAAATCAGTTTGTGCTCAAATCCACTTTTAAGGACTTTGAATTATTTTTAAAAATTTTGAAAACTTTGAATAAATTTAATTTAAGTCCAAAAACATTTTGTCTTAAATTATTTTATCAAAACATAGTTCTACAAAATTATTAATGAATTGAATGCTAATTGTTGCACAAAATATATTTGGTCAACATAGTATATTTATATACAGTAATTATTTATGCTGGTAAAAAAAGTACAAATGAAATCAAAACATTGTTTGTGTTTTATTTGAATATGTTAACATTGGAAACCTATAGTTACAATCTAAATCTTACACTCTAAATCTAAGTACTAAATTTTAAATCTTACACTCTAAAATTTAAAGTCTTAAATTTTAAATGAGACATATGATAATATTAAAATAACGCTTGTGATTAAAAAATTTTAATGTTAATGTATTAAATATATTTTAATTTATATAATAGATAATTTTTAAGGAAATTTATTTTTTACTATGAATATATTTAATTATTTTTAAATTTTAGTTATTATAGTTATTTTATATTATTTTTTACAATAAATATAACAAAAGGGTATTTTATGATTTAATGATTAATATTTTCAAAGAAATAATAAATATTTTCGGTTTTCAAAAAAAGAACTAATAACAATAAGGGTAAAGTACACAAATGGTCCTCGACTATAAGATATTACTTTGTTGAGTCCCTCAACTATTAGAAGTTATAAAACCGACTATAGGAAATTGTTTTGTTGAGTCCTTCAACTATTACAAGTTACAAAATGATAATTTGACTATTTATTATGTTCCAATCTCATCCTTTCCGTTAAAATTAACAGTCGTCTCAGTTGGATTATTGCATGGTGATTGAGATATGATAGTTATTTGAGATTATGAGATCAATTTTTTTCATATATTAGCTAACATGTTAATGTCTAGCTCAGACTACAATTATTTTTTTAACGGAAAATGAAAAATTTAGAACATAATAAATAGTCGAGTGAATATTTTGTAACTTTTAATAGTCGAGAGACTCGACAAAGTAACTCCTATAGTCATTGGACTATTTTATAATTTTCAATAGTCAGATGACTTAATAAAATAATATACTATAATAGGGGACCATTTGTGTACTTTACTCTTAACAATAAATATCTGGAGATACAAAATATTAGTATTCCAAGTATCAAGTGGACGACAACAGAACCATGGCCACCGCAGTCCTCCACCTATCACCCAAACCACCAACAGCCTCCGCGCCAAGCTTCCCCTTCCCGACCTCACCGTTCTTGAAACCCAAACTTCTACCACTTGGCCCCATCAAAATTAATAATCCGATTGCCAAAACAATCTCATCTAACAAAAGTGGAAATGGCAGCAACACACCTCCGTTGCCCGAGACAGAGTGCCCTGTTCCTTACGAACAACAGCCCATAAACGAATACCAATCCCTCTCCACATCTTTCCCTTTTTCTTGGGCTTCGGGAGACCTTGTTGAATTCTGCTCTCGCTTGTTCGCTACCGGTGCCTCTTTCTCCCTTGTTGCTCTACCAGTAGTCTGGTTCGGTTCGGCGGGACCCATATCCGAGCCGCTGAAGCCGGTTCTTGCTGCCGTTTCGAGTGGGATTCTTTTGGTAACAATCGCTGTGTTAAGGGATGTACTTGGGTTGGGCTTATGTTGGGAATCGCTTGCTCAGTGCCACTGTCGAATGTAAGAAAAAATCCTCTGTTTTTTTTCTTTCTACGTTGTTGTTCCATGCAAAATCTTGTTACTACTTTGATCGTTTGCTTATGGGGTTTCTCTTTTGCATGGCTTGCAGATGAAGAAACAGGGGTGGTACGATGGGCAGGTATTGTTCATCTCGTTGAATCAATAGCCGCTTCGTTTTATGATAATCTTCTGTTTTCGTTTTCACCAATTAATAGCAATTTTATTCTAAGGCTGTTAGTAGCTATATTGCAATGGGATGGATACAGTATTTGGTACAGTCTTGGTCCTATAAATGTATAACCATTACTGTAGGAGGCTATTAGCAACTACGTTCATTGCCTGCATCCTTAATTACAAGTAACCTAGTAATTCACTCGTCCACTTTCATTCCTAAAGAGTTTAATTCAATGCCCCCTATGAAATTGAGCATGTTAATGTTAAAAGTTTATTACATTGAAATACCTTCATGTAATTTGGGACTTTGTGAAAACATGTTTTCAATCCTTACAAAAACCGATTTTGCATAAGCTTGTTGTCAATGACGCAGGATTTTATATTAGATGGTACAAATTTAGGAATTTATATTAGAAGTTTAGATGGTGCAAACTTATAAAATTTTACGGGTGTGAAATTAGATTATCAATAGAAAATACAAAAAAATACATTCATACATAAACTATATGAGAATTTGAAATCTCCAAGAGTGCGACTGCACCCTAGCACCCCTCAGTTCATCCCTGCAGTTGTTGTTTTGTTTGTTTCACAATAATGATTCTTAATGTGCAAACTCAGTTTCCTCACCATCATATTTCCTCCACAGATATGGGTGAAGACTACTGAAGTTTTGGCTCGTGATAGGCTTCTTGGTTCATTTACAGTATGTATGCTTATATTGGTTATCTGGACCAGACGTTTTTCACCTCTTACTGTATGCTGATTAGAACTCTGCAAATATCTAATGACATTTTTTCTAGAGCTTCGGATGATTTTATTATTTGGGATTTTTTCTTAAAGAATTGGAGAGATAATCCAATGATCTTTACACTTACACTATAAAAAGCAACCTCTTTTGTATCTGCTACTAGAACTAAAGCTGTGATATGTATTGCTTCTGCAGGTCAAGCCGGTGTTGATCAGATTAAAATACACTCTAGTTACCCTAGCAGTATCCTTACTTGTATGTGTTCTCCCCCTCGTAAACTTTGATCAGGGAGGCCAAGAGGGTTCCTACATGTCTAAAGATACTCGGGCAAGAGCTATACCGGGAGTTTACGACGATGATTCAGCAAGATCATTTGAGCCTGATGCATTCTGTGGTGAACCTGATCTTCCCTAGTTCAATCCTTGTATTTCTGGTTTTACTTTGTACAATCCAAGAGTATATATCCTGTCTCCTTTCAGATCTTTTTACCGTAGCTAATGTTCTTTGTTTATTCAGAAAAGAAATGGGAAATTCAATAAATATTTTTACTAGTAATTGTTCAATGAAAACATAACAATTTCAGATGTAGCAGTTGCTAAAAAATTCATTAAAAAGCAGAAATTACTTGGGTGGACAAACTCCCCCTCTCTCTCTTTTCTTCTTTCTTTTGAGAGAGAGAGAGAGTTGGGAGAACAATCTTAGACAACAAGTTCATCGGAAAAAAATGCACTCAATTCCAAATCTTTACTGTACACAACATTGTGAGCATATTTCTATAGAGTCTGGACTTCCATTTCTTCTAAAAGCTTTTGTATCCGACATATATTCGGATATGATCCCCAAAGCTAAGCTCAAACCCGGTTAGCATAGAAAGAGACTTGATCAAAATGATTTGGTTACCCTCACTTGCAGGCAGTACTTCAGGTTGGATACACTATATTAACTCATCTCCACCAATGGCACATGAACCTAAGCTTCTTGGAACCAGGATGATCCACTAAATCAATGGTTTTGTACCCTTGAATCGCATCAAATCATTGTAGCATTTTGGCCAGCATTACTTTGTGTTACTAGTCTTCGACTCCGGTGTTGTAAACAAAACTGGGAAATAAGGTAGTAACACACCTATAGATTGATGATCAAATAAACGATAGACACGATAAGTACAATCGAAGGAAAATAATCATCAGCGGGAGAGAAGGACTATTACGATGAATCAAAGAGAGATTAGCAAGGTGGCTAAGACAAATACAACTCAAAGCGTGCCAAACTAGAACGTAAGCGAAAAGGGAAAGATTATAAATGTGAAAACCAAAGGCAGCTAAGTGCCAAAGAGGTGAAGCAAACAAAATTAGATTGGGAGTGCAACGCTAAAAATAGGATTTCATCACCAACTTTAAATGAGAAAGAGTCATGTTCTTCAAGAGGCTAGGATGACGAAGCACAAATGCTTTCCATTCTTCTTTGTTGATCTGACCGTCCTTGTCGGCATCCGCGTCAGCAAATGTCTGCAGAAAGACGAAGATCCGGTAATCCATTGAATGCTTTACAAAAACCCACCAGCAAAAAGCAAAGAGTTTAAACTTCGGAGAGCTCACTTTGTCAATGATTTCCTCAAGAAGGTCATCCGACAATGTCGTTTCACATTCCATCAAAATGGCAATTACCATTTGCTTAACCTGCAATCAACCAAAAATTAATTAGTCCTACTATTGCAGGAAATGCATTGTCTCAGTCATTCACAGGACACTGAATTCAGGTTAGAACTGCTTACTCACTTCTTCTCGCTCGATAAAACCTGTTTGTCTCAGGTCATACAACCTAAATGCAACTGCAGACATTGACAAGGATGCAGATAAGCCAAAGACATACATTAATGGTACGAAGCAAAAGATTTCTCAACAACCCTTACAATCAATTTTATCTTCTACAGGGGAATACGGATGAAACACGTTGATTGCATGGACAAATTCATCGAATTCGATAACACCATTTCTCTTCTCATCGAAAAGATCAAAAACCTGCAATATAGAACACATCAAGACTTAAAAATTAACTCAACTGAGTACATTACAACGATAACAATTCCTGAAATCCAAGCTGAACAATTCATCTCCTCTTCATGCTGTACTCTGATTGATTTCCAGTGTCAATCATACCATATAGAAAGAAAGAAAAAACTGTTTTTGCAAACAAAAAAACTTACCCTGTCAAGAAAAAGATTGATGCCGTACGGTGCATGGAACAATGCTAATTGAAGCTCTTCCTATAAAGCAAAGAAAAAAAAACACTTAAATTTTACTAATATTTTGACATTTCAATTTAATGGCATTATAAACAAGTACCTGAAACATATACTTGAAGCAATGCAATCACATAAAATAAGCCATGAAAAGAAAAATCATAATCAAATTTGTGACTCCAAACTACCTTTGAATTTGAATTTTACCTTATGAATCGATCCGTCATCAATTATTGAGCTGCTCAACTTCTTGAACAGTTCGTACAACGCCTCTATTTCATTCACCGAAACTGCATCATAAGATTCACAAAGAAAAATTAAAAACTTGAGTTTGAATATCTGATACGTGTATGTATCAAATGTAAGCATACTTGATTTTTCATAAGATTTTTCCTATGTATGAAGAATCACATCATATACATTCCTGAGTTAAGTATCTCACACACAAGGAAATGAATGAATGAAAAGAAAGAATACATCGGGACTCATTGGCGAGCCGAGTAAAATCTGCGAACCCACACAGAAATTTCTTGGGTCGGGGCCGGAACCCAAAGCAATTTGTCGTTGCAAAAATCAAGAAATCGATCACTGCAACAATCGGAATCATAGTTGCCGCACAGATCGACTCTCCAATCGTCAGGGAACTCGACCGCTGTTCATCATAATCAAATGCACGAAAATAAGCAATGAATCAACCACATCTCAGAACCCATTACACACAATAACAAAATCATTAATAACAAAGAATTAAAAAAACTGCAATTTGAGAAGTTATTAAAATGACTAGAGAAAGAAGAAAGATGGGTTGTTGAGAAATACAAGGAACAAGCTTTTGCTGGTTGAACCCATGGCTTCAGAGAATCACATATCAGACACAGAGCTTATGTCCTTTCTCGTATTGCTGCGTCTTTAATTGAGAAAGGCCGTGAGAAGTATGAGGAATGCTGAATAGATCAAGTTTTCGACTTATACGAAACCCGTATAGCTTGTCGACTTCTCTTTTCTTCCTTATGGATTTTATCTTATCCCCCGCGGTTTACTTTTATGTATGCGTCTCGTTGAGTTGGATGAGGTTGAAACGCAATGGCCACGTGTCTTTTTTAAATGAAATAAATCATATTTTAAAGGGAAAACTAAGCGTTTAGTACCTAAATTATCATATTTGATCCATTTTATTGCCTAAACGTTCATTTTTTTTAAATCATACCTAATGTTTAGTTTTTAATTCATTTTAGTATATCGCTAACTTAATGAATAAACTGATGTGACATAACTTCGATGGACGTACGACAAATCTGAATGGTGGACAACGAGAAAACGACGAGTCGACCAACATAGTCTAGTTTCAAGTTCATCGATCGATGGACCACAAAGATCGAAGGATTAAGAAATCGAAGAGTCCATCATTGATTTGGGGAGATTGAGGTGTTTCCCGGTAAAATGGAGCCCGAAATCACATTTAGGGGGGTTGAAAATGTACTAGATGAAAAGCTTGAGCCTCATCGGTTGAAGGATACGACAGCCGGCGAGCCCATTCGTTGAGTTTTTAACGGCGAGGTACTAAAATGAAACAAAATTAAACGTTAGGCATGGTTTTGAAAAAAAATAAAAGTTTATGTATTAAAACAGACTAAAACTGATAGTTTAAGTACTAAACACATAATTTATCCTATTTTAAATTTAAAAATAATAACATTCTTTTAGAAAGTAATATATGACTGCCAGCTACTTAGGTTTTTTTTATTATTTTAGGTGAATAACACCCGGGTTGAATTAGAAAAAAGTAATTAAATAAAACATATAATGTTTATAATTAAGGGATACATACTTTTAAAAGGCATATTAAAAATTTAGGTAAGTGAAATTATATAAAATCATAGTATTAGAAAATAATTATCATAATTATACGAGAATTTAAAATTTATAAAGGTGTTTTTATCTCAAACATCTCTATAATTATATTTTATTCATAGCCTTCTTTATAAATATTTTTTTATATTTTAACTTTTGTACGTCGATCGTGGTATTCATAACAATTTTTACGTTATTACTATTTTTAACATTTAGGAGGACATAACTGAAAATTTAATATCATCTAGACCAATCATTTTTCCTTCTTTTTTTCAATGTTGAAACGTGAAAGGAATAAAAAAAATCAGCAAATCTTGTATATACCAAGTCTAAATACATATTTTATTAGAAATAATGCAACTGTTTAATAATCACTTCGATTAAATTAAGATAGAATTAATGATTCGATTTCGTGGACAATAATAACATGGTATATGCGTGTCGTTGTATCTTGTTAATCCTTTTGCCACATAATTAATTAATAGGCTAAACTACCATGTTATTCAGCCAACTATAGGATGTCCTCTATTTTGGTTATTGAATTAAAGACTTTATAAATTTTATCACTAAGGTTGAAAATTGTATCAATATGGGCACTCTAATTAATGGAATCGTTGATGTGATAGTTATATGATTGATATGATAATATGCTTTATCTTGAATATTTTTGTATTCTATCCAGTTAATCGTTATTCTAAATAATTCAACGCATTTAATCATTCAAATTGTAAATTTTATTAATTTTGGCCCCAAAAACTCTTTTCCTTTCTTAAAATATCATTTGTTAATTTCTCTCTTAAATGAAAACTTTAATTATCACTTCTTATTATCATTCGTCCATCGTTGTGGGTCAAATATTATTGATCGACCATGATTTCTAATCAAAACCTACCGTCAAATAAAAGTATTGTTTTCTTTTCTTTTGATTTAGTTTTCTTTGTCATCGTTTAATCTACTTTTATCTTTCTTCACTCTTACGATAAGGAATGATATCAAATGAAAGGTCTCATTTTCTCTTGTTTTCCATAGTTTAGTTTTCTTTTAAAATAGCCAAAAAGAATTCTCGAAAATGAACTTGGTTCTCGATTAGAATCAACTAATGAACCCAAAAGGATCCGAGGACTACTTTTCTTGTCTTATTCTTCTTTTGGACTTTGATGCTGCGTTTCTTTTGAGTTTGTAGACCCTTGTGGATTTATGTTGACCTGGCTTTGAGTGTTGGTTTTAGGTTTTACGATGATGCTTTAATTGATTTCGGAGGTTCTAGAAATGGAGACTTGGGTTGAGTAAAACTCGACTCGACTTGAATCGAAAAAATTCGATTTGAATTGATTTCAAGTAGTAATCTCATAAACTCGACTCGACTCGACTCACAAAAAATTCAAGTTCAAGTCGAGTTTTAAAATATAGCTCGAATAACTCGTATTCTTTAGTAATTAGTGAATTGATTTTCAAGTTTGAGTCGAATACCTCATCTTTGTATGTTTATATGTATATCACATATGAAAAATATGAATAAATATATATATGTATTGTATATGGTTATAAAAGACCATTTAAATTGCAATCAAATAGTATTATAAATATTTACAATTAAATTTAAACGAAAACTCGCATCGACTCGAAAAAATAAAGTTTGAGTCATAAAATATGGCCTTAAATTGAAGGAGACAGTTGAAAATTGATATGAGCAATGGTTTTGAGAAAGTGGTTTGATCTCGAGTGAAGTGATTATGAGCTGTGTGGTGGAGATTGGATTTGAAAGGTGAAGCTGATGGTGGTGTTTAATGATCAGTGACGTGGCGGAGGTTGGACCAAGTTGATAAATTTTAGAATGTAGAAGATCAAATTTATGGAATTATTTAAAATGGGGACTAAATTGATATAATATATAAATATTAAGAATTAAATATACTATTATACCAATTTAATAATTGACACATCAGCAATTCACAGTGACTATATTGATATAATTTTGTAACATTAACAACTAAATTTGTAAGATTTTTAATTTGGCGATCAAAATAGAATGTGCTAAATAATTGGATGGCTAATAGGGTATTTTTACCTTAATTAATATTATAGAGCTTGTGCATTTTCTATGCAATAAGCTCAAAGTCAAAGGCCAACCGTCATTGGGCAAAAACACCGAGAGTGATGATAATGACATTATTAACGTAAATAAATAAATAAAAGTGATTCTCTCTAGTTATAAATATTAAGTTCGTAATAAATTTGTGTGGCTCAAAATTACTTGGTCCATCTTTTACAATCAAAACCTCGAATACCTAAGGCAGCGTCATAATTCAATTATACGTACGCTGTTGGTACTTTCAAACGGACCTTCCAGACAGCCAATGTTAAAGAGAGAATCATGTTCAATTTATCATTCAAAAATGATAAGTACACCTCACCTACCCTTATGAAAGAATTGAGATAAAAAATGGGCCAGGCCCTGAAGTCGACAATGTTCAGCTGAACCATGTGATTACAAATTCTAAAATAGTTGACCATCTCAACTGGATTTCAATGGTTAAATTGCCTGAGCCAGCTGCACTAATCTTTTGCTGCCCAAGAGGCGTACGGTCGCGTTCTTCAGCAATAATGAACGTTATAAAAGCAGCAGGTAGTAGGAAATCCAAAGCATAAATTCACTACCCACCCTTGTTTATTATTATTGGCGGTTTCTCTAGTAAATAATTATTCCAATGATTTATACAGATGACTTCTCCTTGGCTAAAACCTTATGGCTATAAATAAATGAATTGACAATCTCTCCTCTCTCTTTTTTCTTCTTTTTATCTATTGCTTCTCTATCTACAACCCTAGTAATTCATGCTTTCTCTTTTTCCCTCACCAACATGAAAGATGTTACAAATCGCCTTATATAGATTACAAAACGTTGATCTTGCCCTTAAACTTCCAAAGAAATCCGGGTTTTAATCGGTTTCAACTTCAACCCCATGCTTTCCGGCGAAAGAAGCTCCGGAGAGATGCAACACGGACTCAAAGGGCTTCTAGGACTAACACTTAGAGTCGCTCTGTATAAGCCGAATCCTGTAAGAAAGTACTCTATTGGTATCAACATGGCATGGGGCTGCTCCTCTGTCACCATTGACCCACATGCTTGAACCTGTACGTTCCACCGTTTTCATCTCGTTAGCTCAATGCCATATGTTTTTTTGCAAGCTATAGATGTACATGATATTAGAACATGGGTTAGGCAATTAACTGTTTGCATATATACCTCCACTAAGGCACTATATCTTCTATCTAATTTCGATGTCATGTGAAGCGCCTCGGAATGGAAAGGAGAGTTCTCGCCAACAAATATTAATGAACGGCAATGCAGTTTTCTTAGACCTTCGCTAAGGTCGGGTCTCCTGAAAGATGGTAAGTAAGAGATTAATGCCGGACCAAAAGCAGTGACTGCATGCATGCATTGGAAATTTTTCTTTTTCTTTTTCATTTTCCCTGATAAAACCTAACTAACCACGTGTATCTACCATGGAGATAGGCTTACCCGTTCATTGCTTCGAGAAATTGCCAAATATTTATAGTCTGCCTTTCATCTAGCAACTGCAGGGGGAAAACACGATTCGAGTCAGAAAAATGCCATGCGACAAAATAAACTTATTTTATAATCCCAGTTGAATAGTAAATAATAGGTAAATATAAGGAGTTCAAGAACCAACTCTTCTGCATGACTTAACTACATCTGATTCTGGTACTTGAACACCAGCACGAACTTCCTGCCATAGTCATTCAGAACCTCATCACTCAACAAGTCAATTCTAGAAAGCAAAACGGCATATGTTTTTGGAGCCGAAAACTACCTTACTGAAGTATCGCTTAAGCAACAACTCCTTTACCACACCACACATGCCATAGAAATATAGCAAATTTGACATCACCTGCAATAATATGACAATGCATCAAAGAACATAACTATTTAACCACCAAAGAGGAAATAAAAAGGTCCAGAAGAGGAACCTTATTTAACAACCACTCTGTCCATGAGGGTTCTCTGCAGAGGGGTGAAACAAGTATTAACCCAAGCACACGTTGCCGGTATTTCATCTATTAAGACAATACAGAATAATTATTTCCAAGATTACAACAGAATATTTTGTTCTTTATCTGGACTGGGAAATGGAAAAAGATAATTTTTGTTTTCTTGGCTACTTGACTTACAGCAAATAGGGTAAGAATATATGCTCCAGCTGTAACCCCCATACACATTACAGCACCAAGCCTGCAATTAAAAAGAAGATGAAGAATGGAAGAGTTAAATAAGGAATAAGCTTGCTTGCCTTTTTTTCTTTTCCATATAAATAATTAATGATAGTAACATATTGAAGAAAATGACAGCTTAAGAACTTATGCAAGGGCAGTAGGTGCATCGATTTATATCATTTTCAGACAACTACTACAATAATTACCCACCAACAAAATAAACTAAAATGTTGGAAAAGATTACAGTAAAGTAAAATTCTAACCAGATGACACTTAGAAAGAGAGAAAATAAAGAAACTGTGGAATTATATGATTACCCGAAAAAGTTGAGAACCTCAACAATTTGATCTGCCAAGTCATCAACAGAAAGCATAAGGTCATCAGGACCGATGGGGGCAGCTCCCAACTGCAATATTTCTTGAAGGAAGTACCGGATAAGAAAAGTGTGAATTATAGAATTCAACCAATATTTTTTTATTATTAAAGCATGAATAGAACTGACCTCATGCCCTGGAGGACTTATATGATATATGCAAAAGTTGTGGAGGAGTAACGAACTAGCTTCTGGACAAAAGAACAACCCATGAAAACAGGAGGTATCTGCAAAATCCCACAACCAAAGTTTAGGTAAGAAACATGAAGTATCCTTGGATAAATGGTCTTGCTCATTACGGAAACCAAGAAATTATAATGTTATGAACTTCAACATATTACATTGACATGTAAAACTTTAGCTCAAAGCATAGAAATAGTAACCGTTTTTACCCAAAACTACGTATATGTTTAGGGGGAATAATTCAAGCATAGAAAGAGCAACCGTTTTTACCCAAAGCTGTTGGCAAAAAGATCAAATTCCATAGACTCTGAAAACAGATATGTTGTCCTAAGAGGAAGGCATAAGGAAAAGAAGCAGTACAATGAGGTTTCTTGCATTACTTACGATTTAGAGCTAAATCAGGATAGGTAACAAGAGCCGGCTTATCTTGGTCTCCAAACACAGCAACTGAAACAGCACCATGGTGAGTTCTCACAAGGTACTCCTGCAGATAGATTTTACAACGCATTGTTATTCGTTTAAGAAACCTCCTCGAAAGCGAAAAAAGATCAAATCAAATTAACATATAACATATGATCAAGTAAGGCAATGATAGTCTAATTGACATGAATTTCATTCACTTTAAAAGGAGACGTATTCAAGCATAGCCCAAGCTAAGTATATTCTAGCAAGATAGAGTTAGCATGTATAGCGGAACATTTTCAGGAGACGTAACTGTTTTGCTCATTTAGGCATATTCTGCATAATCCAAACTCCTAATTTGACAAGACGTTGACATAACACTATTGAAATTACCAGTCTCAAGAAATTTCCCCAGAACATAAAGCAAATAAATAAACATTACGAGTTTCAAAACATCATCGAGTGTAGTTTATTATTATTGTAACTAAATTTAATTTATCTGGGTGTTTCTAAAATGAGAAAAGTTTAAGAAGCCATTAAGCAATTGACCATAAAGAACAAATTATGTTATCATTCAAAATTAATTGTAGCCAAAACGAAAATAAAATTGACTGTTACTGTAGAAAATGAATGAATAATTTCAATATATGCTTTAGGACGAAAAGAAATATATTAGAAATAAACATTGAATCCAGCTTAGCTAAGCAAAAGACTAATAGGCGCGCATTCAAGCTTTAAGAAGGAAAGCATTTCTCCCACTTTTTTCACCTCCATCCCCGCATTTTCCCGGTAAACAAACAAGAAGATAAATAGAAATGCAGGTTACCTTACTGCCGAGAGAGAACGTTTCCATATCAATGGAAACCGAGTCGCTAGAATCTGCCATCTCTCTCACTCAAAATGAAGACGCATTTTTAGAATTGGCTTCCATGCCTTTTATACCAAATCTTTCAATTTGTCCCTCCTTTTATAAAATAAATTTTGATTTTTTTAAACCATATTAAAATTAAAATTTTTGATATCAAATATTCGAAAGTATATATTTTAAACTGAAAGTTTTAGCTCGACCGAGTCACCGACGCTTGATTTATCACTATTAGAGACAGAAACTCGCAAGGGTACCGTACAATACAACCGGACCTTAACCAGTAACTCGGGTTAATTTAACCGCAGTCAAGAGGCGGACAGTTTCTTCAAGATTACAATAGTACCCCATTTTTAAGTTCCATATAAAAATTATAGTATTTATTTTTTAGAAAATAAAATTATATCATCTTTTAAGAAATAAAAAATGTATTTATAAAATTTTGTTCAAATAAATAATTATATTTGGAATGGTAAAAAAATCTCCATGTAAATCTGTATTAATCTGTGATTTATCATTTAATACTTTTGAGTTAATTGTATTAAACATTTTAAAAAACTCTAATTTTATATATTATTTTTAAAATATTTTAGTTATATCCTTGAATTTTTTATTTGTATTAACCATATCTTTTTATTATTAGAATTATTAATTTAATTAATAAATGCCACATCATTACAATACATGTTATATAATAATTGACATGATATTGTTTAGTATTCAATAAATATTCTACACGCGTAGTATTTTTAGTTTCTTTAATAATAATATTTAATTTATTTATCGATTAATTTAAGTCAAATTTTAATTTTTCAATGGTGAAAAAACATTTTTTTTAAAACAAGTTTGAGAAACGTAGTGGAAATCAATGAAAATCTTATATAGGGTTACGTTTTTGGTAATAGAACTGCAATCGACATCACCGGTGATTTTCCTGTGTTGAAAGCAACATCAAAACGCTCGTCTTGTTTCCTTCCATTAAGCTCGAATGACCCTTTTTATTGGCTACACTATATCAGATTAGATTATAATAATACCCATAAAATATGATGTGATATTTAACAATGAGATTAATTATTTTAATAACATAGTGTTTTAATTGGTATATATTGATAGTTTAAACTTGTAATTATAATATTTTAAAGTTTGAAAATTAATATAAAATTAAAGTTATTATTTGAGAATATTTAGTACAATTAACTTCTTAGTTTATTACTTAAATTTCATGAACAAGTAAAAAATATTATAATGATATTTATTACTACCTTAAAATTGATTTTAAATTTTTAAAACTAAATTAGTCTCTTTTCAACTCGTGTCATTAATTTAATCAAATATTATACACATATACCATATATATAATATAAGTAATAATTCAAAGGCATTTATAATTTAATTTTAAAAAGATTTTTGACATTCTGAAATGAATGTATCTATTTTTTTATAAAAAAAAAACTCAACTTGAATACTCGAAAAGAATTTGGAGATATGATGAATTCATGACATAAGAAGTTATTAAAAAAAATGCTTAATTCGAAATTTAGCCCTGTAAGTATATCTTTTATTTTATACTCTAAACTACTTTTTTCTTGATTAACTCCTAAACTATCATTTTTGTCCCAAATTACTCAAAAAATTAAAGCAAGCAGTAAGAACTGGCATGTGAAAACATTACTTTTTGACAACGACATAAATTATTAAAGGTGAAAAAATGTATATTATAAGGGTTAAATTTGATAATATTCACTGGCAATTTATATTCATCCAATAATTTCAAATCAAAATAAAACCTTTTATTTTTATAATGTGTATAATCCACTTACACATTATATATTTTATCGAATAGTTAAAATTAATTAAATTTAAAAACTATAATCGAATTTTTAAATTAAAGATAATATATATATATATATATAAATTTATGCATATATATATATAAAAGAGATAAACATATATAACTCATAAATTAAAAAAATATATAAGTTACCCTAGTTTTCTCTTATTTTTCTTTGATTATTGTTAGTTTCTTTCTACCTTATTTTTGAGACCGAAGATGACATCAATTTTAGTGTTGATCTTCGACGGTTGATATTTATTTATTTTTTATTTTATTACATTGCATCTTTGCTTTTTTTTCTTCTTTTTTTAATTTTTAAAAACTATGCTCTTATGGCTCGTTTTCCTCTGTCTTTATAGTTTGTTTTTTCTACCTTTTGACATCTTTTCGATCATTTAGTTGTTGTTTAGTTTATCATTTTTCTTAGTGTTGGATTTAACATCACCACGAATGATCAAATAGCATTTTTTGTTCTCATGTTGATATGCCATGGTTTGGACCTTCAGATTGAATTTGGATACTCGATTTGCGATTGTGGATAGTTTTATAATGTCACTCTACTTTGATTTGCGGTTTATCAATTTTCTTTCAATAGCTTGATCCTTTTTTATGATTTATTTACCAATACAATCAAATATGTTCATACGTTCGAGTTTATTTGATTATATTTTTTACATTTTCCTTGTACGATCTTAAGTAAATAGTTTAGTTTACGATTACAATTGTAAATATTTATTGTAATTTAAATATTTTTAATAAAATTACCGTCTTCTATAAAATAAATATATATGTATATATAATTCATATAAAGAGGCATGATTCCCAAACGTTATAAAACTTTAAAAAATATTTCAGCTATTAAATTCAATTAATCAATGATCTAAAACATATGTAAAAGTTTTAAATTATATAATACGTTAGTGGATTACAAACTATATATATATATATATTCATGAGAAGAAGAAGAAACCATAGAAAACTAGAAACAATGGGCTATAACTAAATTGCAGCTAATATCCTTCGTATGTCATCGCAGATAGAATATCGCCATCCCATTCAATTTTGCTAAAGATATTTTATTTGTTCTTTAAGTAACGAGTGAGTTAAAGAACATTGTCACCAAGACTATGACATTTTCTTCTAGTTTTCCAAGCCATGTACTCTTTAGTATATAATTTTGTATTGTTTAAAATACGATATGTACAAATGTTATAAAAGTTTAATATTTTCAAATTAAATAAACAAGTGGTAGATTTTTATATTTTAGAGTGGTCTAATTAAAATATTGTTCAGTTTAAAACGCAATTCTATTCAAAATAAAAGTAATCTAAAAATAAAATAATTTTTATGTATGATTTAAGACTCAGTAGGAGTCATGCTATATATAAACTAAAGAAACTCACCTATAAATGGTCAAATTTACGAATTGTCAAAATATTCGAGTCTAACGGGTTATAACTTAATTTTATATGATTAGGTTTTTTAAAAAAATTAAAATTCATTTCAGATTTAATGAAGGAGAGAGTCAAATCCTAACTAGTGATTGACCTAGAAAAGGTGGGTGGGTGAGGTTAACCTTCCTAAAAATTTCAAATTCTCATATATTTTATATTAAAAATATGTTTTGGTCTCCTCTAATTTTGTTTTATAATTTTGTTTGTATCTGATCAGAATAAAATCAATTTACAATAAAAATTCTTGACTTACCATATTAAAATAATTATTATAACATCCCTTATATATAATTATTACAAAATCATTATATATATTCAATTAACTCTCTATCTTATTAAATACAAAAGCAGTTATATTGAATTGAGTAAAAAAAATGGACACCCAGTGCCATCTTAATTTAAGTCTATGGTAAGAAAAATATATTAAATACATCATAGTAATAATGAAGTTAATAGTCAAAATAATTCATATCTCGGATCTATAAAATTAGTATTAATTTCAACCCATAAAGACCAAATAGATCAAACATTAATAGTATGGCTTTTATGTTATTGATATTTATTATCATCAGCGTTACTCATTGATTGATTTATTTTTAATGCAATTATAAATGAAAATGTTTTACAAACAAATGAAGGTAAATATATATACATTTATGATCAACATATTTATTATAGGAAAAATTCACCAATCTTGGTATATAACCAATTAAACTTATAATATATCGGTAAAGAACTTAATTTTAATCTTAATCGATATTAAGTTTTGATATTGATCTCGATCAACTTCATTTTCGTCGTATAAAAATTGTTATTGTTAGTAGTATCTCATAATATATATATTCACATTGTGTCATTATTATGTCATTATTTATAGAATCTTTAGAATTAATTAGAGCAGGTTGTATAAGAAAATCAAATTAGGTCAAGGGTATATTTCAGCATTGTTGCTTGATGACAGAACTTAATCTCGAATCTTTGACTTAGAAAATGGCCAAGTTAGTGTATTTATATTCATATGTATGTTACAATGTCATTTTTATCATTTAACCCAACAATCTCGTTTATTTTAATTTGCAAAACATACTCGAAATATATTTTGTTACATAAAATATTATAAAAATTTAGGACTCTGTGTGTGCCTCTGATGTGATCAGTATTGATAGCTTTCTGGTTTTCGGAGCCTTTCAGTTTCATGCTTTTTGTGTTTTCTTCAATCTGGTATTGATTCAAGGGGTGAATTATTGTGATGTTAGGGTTTTAATTAAAGCTTTGAAAACAAAGCAGGAGTTCTCTTCTCAATGGTGTTTTTCATGGAAATACTCTCTTTAATCAAATCTGGAAGCCTATTAGATTTTCCATATTCACGACTACATGAAACCAACGGACTGCCTTTTGTAAGCTATAGATTAGAGATTTTTTTTGAATTAATCACTGGTATCCGATCTATTGACCGACTAATTCAGACTGGGTAATGCAGAGATGAGGGCGGCCCTCCCAAACTAGTTTACTACATTGGCAAACGCCAATATTCGAACACCTGATATTGTTTAAGGGACCTAGTACTTCATCCCACTAAACCAACTCGTTGTTGGTGATGCAATTAGAGATTTTAATTAGATAAATACATTATATTAGAAAACCTTTTTAAAAAATAGCTTATATAAATATAATAGTTTATATTATATAATATATTTTTATTTATAAACCAAAGTAGGTTCCTTTTAATA